CTTTACTATGCCATACTATGCTGCATTGTGCTATATGATGCTTTGCCATGCCGTACCATGTTATACTATGCTATACCATGCTAAACTATGCTATACTATGCTATACTATGCTATACTATGCTATACTATGCTATGCTATGCTATAGTATGCTATAGTATGCTATAGTATGCTATAGTATGCTATACTATGCTATACTATGCTATACTATGCTAAACTAGGCTATACTAGGCTATACTAGGCTATACTATGCTATGCTGTACTATGCTATAGTATGTTGTACTATGGTATATAATATTAGACTCCGTTGTGCTATATTAAATTATACTACATCATGAATAACATATAGTACAAAATAATATACAATAATATAATTCAATATAATATATTCTATATTACATATTATATGAATGGATTGGACAAGGAATTGAGGGCCCCTGAACCTTTGGCGCGAACTTTCCTCGGACCTCGGGCCTTACTTCGGGCATCGTCGAGCTGTCGCCCATGGCTTCCACCACTTCTCTGGCTGCCTCCCAGGCCTTCAAGGTTTAGAAGTTTACAGGCTTAGTGATTAAGCGCTCACACTCGGACACTCCACGTGAGGCATGTGGTTCGAAGTCTGCTAAGGGTTTAGGGTATACGGTTTGCGGCTTCGGGTAAGCAGAGCGCAGCCGAAGGACCGCATAGACCAGCTTTAGTCGTGGCCTCCTCCGCTGCTTCGTACTCTCCCATGTCCCCACGAAGGCTGCAAAGAGAGGACAGGAGCTTCACGCCTCGGAACCATTCTACCCGCCACAAATGTTGCGGTAGTTGGAACTTTCAAACCCGAAAACCCAAACCCTGGAACCCCAAATTGAGACATCTGCTTTTTGCCAAGCAACCTGATTCAGAGTGCAAGGTCCTCAGCAGCGACTGCAAAGTATATCGCGTTTTTGGCTCGCTTATGGTAAGCATCCTACTACTTCGGGTCTACTATCGAAGCGTGCATCATTTTCTGAAACTGACAGGTGAGACCGCCGTTTCACATATCCGAAGCTTGGCCAAACGAAAGGGTCTCGAAACTCGACAAGCGACAGCTGCCCTCCCTAAGAACTTGATCCCCGAAGCGTAATGAAAATGCAGATGGCCACCTTCGACTCTCACACTCGCGCGCGTCATGCGAGGCTCCAAACAATCCTCATTCGCACAAACAGTCCACGCCCCACCAAACATCTAAGACCCTTAGCCACACAAACACACCAACTCAGTCACCACCACACATCAGACTTGGTTGAGACATTGCTCAGCTATTCCAAAAAAACAGCAGCTTTCGTCCGGGAACCTGAAAACCAGCACCCAACGAACACTAACCAGAACTAGCCACTAACCCAACTCCGAGATGTCACGTCAGACATCAGCCGCAAGCAAATTTCCATGGCCCTCTTCGTAACTCGGTCGCGTAGTGCCCTCATGCCGGGATGGACTTGTCGATGCCAACTTGCTGTCACCGATATTCCACATTCCATGCATTCATGCATGTACATTCTAAGGGTAACTCGCAGAGATATACACGCCATCATCACAGTGTTTGTCGCCAAAATGGCAAACTTGCAACTGTCAATATTCAAAATCTGCGAATACATGCAGCCACATTCCATCCAATCCATCCAAGTGTGCCCGGGAAGCACCGGGGCCTCACCCAGCACGAGGACCCAGAGGCACATTCCATGCAATAAACACCGCCACATTTCCTCCTGTCCAATTCTTCGCAGCCCTGGCAACTCATCATGCCGTGGCACATGCAACACAGCCTGCATCAACAGCCCAGCCAACCATTCAATCCACGGGCACTCTTCAAGGTATCACACAGCAAGCCCTCCACCAGTTTCAGCTACTTCCGGTCAACTTGCAGTCGCGCGTCTGCCAAAAGGAACCACGTACGGAGTCGAATGCGCCAGTAAAGCACACACAGTTGGGCAAAGACCTGTGGCTCAGGCGACTGCTCGGTCCAGTAGGCTCTAAACACAAGCAGCACGACACAATCATGCACACTCAGTCCGTCATCTGCTTCATGTGCCAGGAGAGCTGGCCGTGCGAGCGCAAACGTCATCACGCCCAACGACGGATCACTCAGAAGGACCAACCATGGCAGACTCAGGAGCGGGGGCTAGAGAGGCAAGTCAGTAAGGTTGCAGTACTGTCAGAAACGAGCAGAATACTGGCTTTTAATATTGTGGGGTAAGGATTATCGTAATCACCCTCGTACACTTACGGCAAGTCAAACCAGGTCCGTTTGCACCCTTGCTTTCGAATCTTGGAGAAGAAACAGCGAACTAGCTCATGCAAAAGGAATTGGATCATGCAAAAACGAACTGGTCGAATTGGGTCATGCGAAGCAAGTTGGACCCTGCCAAAAGGAATTACGCGCCATCACTCCCCATCCTCCGCATAAGTTCCACATGCCGGCCGAGCTGAGCTTTCGAAAGCGAGCCGCTGTTTGGTTCGCCGGACCTTCGTCGCAGCCTCCTGCCGTTGTCGCGGGGCCGTGATCTGGCTAAGCTTGCAGTTGCACTTGCAGCGCTTGCCTGTTCCCGGCTATCGCGGATGATCCTGCAGGGAGCTGGGCAGCCAGCTTTGTGGCCCAGGCTGATCGCCGCGACCAAGGCTCCGCGGGTGATCTTCTTCGGCACCTGCACCAAGTCTGAGTCGCAGACATCTGTGTCAAGCGCCCATTGGAGGTGAAAGATTTTCCGCCGGACGTCAAAAACCCTCGTGGCGCCGTGGAAGAGGAACTTTCCCCGCTGCGAATCAGCTACCAGGAAATGTAAGAAGGGCTACGTCCGCTCTTCCCACTTCCCCAGCTCCTTTGCGCGGCAGACGAGGTTCCTCGTCACCTCGCCCCAATTGAAGGTGCCCAGCTCGACAAAAACGTCTGCGGTCTCTAGTGTGGAGGTAATGGATTGTCCCAGCCTGGGCTGGACAATAATTCCCTCGACCCGGTATTCTGAGATCGCCTCTTGTAATGCCTGGACCTGCACCAGTGGCGAGAACTCACCCATGCGCCACGAAAAGGCTTGCCTTTCCAATGCAGGAGGAGCTTGCAGCGGCGGTGTCGGCAAACAGGCCTGAGCCAAAATGGCGACGGATGGTCACCTTCATCCTCATCCTCATACTCCCAACCCTAACCATTCCTGATCCGAATCCCAATCATACTAGTCGCACGCACTAATCTTATTATACTAATGACAAGACAAACCGCAAAGAACAGTAATAGTAACAAGGACCCAAAAAGTTAAGAAGACGGGGCTCTCGGAGCGCTTTCGGATTGACCAAGCCTCTTCCAAGAGGGCCGCCGCCTTAGGCCGGTCCTGGCCACAGGGCTCCCAACGGTGCACCCACCGCCCACCGGAGACAAAAAGCCTTCAAGGAAGGGAGGATCCTGCTGATTCACTTAATGCAACGTGCGGAAGATGCCCGCGATACCCACGATTGTCGGGGGTGCTAGGAGGGCAGCAAACAGCCACGGACCCGTGGCGCAGACAACTGTGCACCCCGCTCCGTGGAGATGTTTGCACGTTTACTCCCATGTCTGGGTCTTCCTCTGAAGACAAGAAACTCGCGGGAAGAGGCAAGGGCAGGAGTCAAGGAATGTCATGCCAGAGAGCGAACTCGCTTGCGAAAAAAACCTCTCACACGCCCTTCGCAGCACTCGCCCCTCCGAGAGAGCCCTTTGCTTTGGTTCTCAGGACAGCTTCGTGCTGGAGTTGCGCCTCCTGGCTCAGCAACTCCGCGGTCTTCGCCAGCAACTTGGCGCCCGCATCGGTTTCCTTGCAGGGACTCCCTCAGAAAAAAGAAGTTTCTGCGTTGCTCGGCTTAGGCTGCCGGGCGGCCAGTGTCTCGGACTTCTCCCGAGCATCCCGCGCCCGAGCATACCACAAGAGAGCTTCTTTGCTATCTCCTGCCAACGACTTCTTGACACGTCAACAGGAAGTCTGCGACGTCATCGAACCCTGAGGAGATCTGCTCCTTGCTTCGCGTAGATGCCCCCGATGTGCGACCTGCACTGCATTCGCTCTTAGCAAGACGAAGTCAGCTCCCGGCACTCAGCCGCCCACAGGACCACTGCTCCGGCCGAGGAGTCCAAGGTGCCCGTCCTTGGATCGCAAGCGTCATCTCTGTGACTCGAAGATCCTCTGCTTGTGCCGGGCATCTTCTCACGAATCTCCTTGGCCTGCAGGTAGAGCCTCCAAAGGATCAGAGAGCTCCCGCATCGGCACAGCCCCGCCTTTTTTTGGCCCCCCCTGGCCTCAGCTCCCCCTCGGCGTCTCCGAAGAGCTCCTGGCGCATTCCCCATCCACTCCCCTGATCTCGCCTGCTCTTATGAGAGACTGGGCTTATAGGGCTCTCTCTAAGGACTCATAGGGCTCGACCTGGACATCCGCAATGTTCGTGAGCAGCGTGGCTCCGGCCGACGTCTCCAAGGTCCCAGTCTTTTCCTGTCGAGAAAAGCCGATCTCTTCCACCAAAAAACCCAAATAGTTTGTGAGTTATCATCGGGGCCGAAACAAAGGCTGCAGCAACGCCTCTCAGCACCAAAATTTCATTTCTATGTGATCGGCTTCCTACTTGCAGCTGCAGGAATTGCCAACTTTGCCAACTGCAAACGCATCTAAGAATCTAAGCCTGCCTCGCTGATGAACAAGCCTCCCTCCACCCCCGTGCCCTCTCGGCCCATTGAACCGGGCTGCTCGAATGGCCATGGCTCGCTCGAAAGCCTTGGGGACAGCAGCAGCCAACGCGGGGGAAGAAAACTCCTGCCCAGCATGGGCCTGCTTCGCGGCTTTCTTCTTCCTCTGCCGCAGCCGCGCCACACCGATGTTGGAGAGAAGCCTTGTCTTATGGCCATGTAGGCTTCTCAACATGTGGCTACTCCCTAAAACGCTGCAGGCATCCTAAACCAAAGCTGCACAGCGACTTCTTCCATCAATTGAGATTTCGGAGTCAGAGCCTTGCATTCTATCGTGAAGTCCTTCGTGCCTTGGAGCTTCCCGTATGTCAGCGAAAAATCGATGGAGAGGATCTAACATGGCTGGGAGGCGTGGCGCCCTCCGGCGACTCCAGTGTTTGTAGCCGCCTCGATTGAGAGTCTCGTATTTTCGCAGGAACTCTGGCCCTGGCCGACTCCAAATCATCCGCTCTGAAAGACTTCTGGCAGGCTCCAAAGCTGAAGCCTCGAGTCACAGTTGCGTCAGGCGGCTCATGAATGCCCAGGGCTTCCTCGTACGCTTGCACGGCACCCTCCATGTCGCCGGCCTGCTTCTCGCTTGGCGTAGCACCGAGATAGTTTTTAATGTACTTATAGGCACAGGCGCAGTGATTGTAGAACGACAATGTAATATCATGCCACGAGCAAGGCTCCTCATGTGGGCTCTGGCCCTTTTCGCGTATCACCAGCCTGCCGCTTCGCAGCACCGATGGAAGAGAGGAGCACGGTCCCTGTGCAGCAAAATTCTCAGCAATACCATGCAAAAAGAGTCACCTGGGTGCAGGCATTTTACATTTACTGTAAGGTTAACGCGCCTTTCCGCATCCTTTTTCCCTGGGCATTTTGGCCGCTGCAAGTATACTTTATGTGGCAGGCGCGGGACTCATGAATGAGTGGTCTCTAAGACATCTAAAAACGTATCTTGTTTATGATGTATTGGTGATAGTATGGGTTGACGTCGATGGGACCTCAAGCGTCCAAGATACCGGATACCGAAGCATCTGAAATGGCCCTTCCCCACAAGACCTGACCTGCAAGTGCGAAATCGATCGGCACCATCGTTATCAACATCGCGAGTACCACCAACATCAGCACAACCAGGAGCATTGCTCCATGAAGACACCGGAAGACAACCTTGACCATCAGCATGCAGACTAGCTTCGGCATCACCACCAGCGAACGAAAACCAGCACCATCAACAAAACTAAACTATCTATACAAACCGAACGTCACTAACCCGCCCCCCACCCCTACCCCCTCCCCACTCGCAAAAAGAGACGAACAATCCCGAAGACTGCACGATCTACACAAACCGAATGTCATTACCCGATCCCTCCCAACCCAACAAAAAGAAAAAGGATACTATCAAATCCGAAGACGGGCAATCTCCACAAACCGAACGACATTGCCCACCACCAAGACTTGAGGGAAACACCGGAAAGCAAGGACATCGAAGGGAAAATAAGGAGCGTCGACATACGATTAAGGGCGGGCTGCTGTAAAGGTTGAGGATCGGGGCCCCCCAGGCTGTGATGTTCGAAGCTCTGCTACGGTCTCCCCAAAGCATTACTCTCAAACTGTCTGTCTATGTACTCTTAAGGCACGCAAACAGAAGGAGATGCCGATTCCCCAATCACACCGTGCAAGGAATAGCCTTGTAGGATACACAAACGCGACAAGCAATGTTATCACCAAGAGATGTATTTGTGCAAATATTCTCACCAAGATATGTATTTCTGCCATTTCTGCCAATCACTACAACAGCGGCAGCAACTTCAGCAGAGACGGCACACCAATCCAACACCGAAGGCCGCTGTCATCGACACAGCAGCAAGAAATACAACCAAACGGCACCGCTGGGCCTTCCGTGGATTCCAGTGCATTGGCCAACTCACAAATGTGCCGAGCCTGGCAAGGCTGGGCCCGGTGTTTCTTTCGATGCCCGAAAGAGCCAGCTGCCTCCTCGTAGAGCTTCATTTTGCCCTCCAGGTCACCTGACCAGAAAGAAAACAGGGAATCTAATCCAAGCGGTGCACGCGGATGCCCAACAGGGCTTCGTCAAGGAGCCTAAGAGCTGAGATCTGAAGGCAAGAACGAGCGGATCTGCCTCGCACCCCAAGGAGTCGTCCTCAGAAGCCAACCAGCATAAAACTGCACAACCCGAGGCCCTTTTGCAACTGGCCCGCTGCGACTCTACTAGGGCGAACAGTTGACCACAATCGCTTAGTGAGTGAGCCACTCGTGCGCTCACGCCAAGAACCCGGAAAAGAATTCACATGTAAGCACAATTTGCCGTGGCCCTACACCCTAAACCCCTAAACCCTAAACCCCTTTTGCAACTGGCCTGCTGCGACTCTGCCTAAACCCCTGAAGCCTTCGTTGCCTTTCGGGCGGCGCACTGCGACGAACGAAGATTTCCGGGGAGGCGTTTGGCTTTCTTAGGATGTCGGAGTACCTTCTGTAGTGATCCTTATAATACGCAGTCTACTTTCTAGCAAATCTCCGGTTCATGTTAGAAGGACTTAGGACCCCATATTCTGTTGAGACTCCACTGTACTTTGGTGCGTTGGTCCTTGGCACTAACGTCCTCAGTGCGATTCCATCCTTCAATAGAACCTAACACGACTGGAAGAATGCCGTCATATTATAATGCAAAAGGATCCTTGATATCCGGAATAGCATAGTATGATTATAGGGAGCATAGTATGATTATAGGGATACTCCTACTGACTATCAAAAGCTGAGGCCGGCCAGCCAAGCATCCCTGTCGTCGCTTCAGAGCTGCGTAGTCCAACGGCACTGGAGCCGAGGTAGCCGCAAAGCACAGCGCGGCACGCCTCAACTACACGCCACGACACGTGCACACCCAGGCATGTACCGTTACCTTCCTCACCCTAGCTCCCCACCGACCTGCATTCAACCTTCCCACGTGCAGACCTATCTACCTACCTACATAGCTACGTACGTACTTTCGACATTGCCGTGCACTTGCGTTACGTTGCCAGACATCACATGACATGACATGAGCTGACGTGACATGGCATGACAGGACGGGACAGAACGTGACACTACATGACATTTCAGGACATGACCGACAGACAGCCAGCCAGGCAGACTAACAGACGGACACGCAGCAGCCAGACATCGGTGTGTGTGTGTGTGTGTGTGTGTGGGTGTGGGTGTGGGTGTGGGTGTGGGTGTGGGTGTGGGTGCGCGCGCGTCTATTTAGGCATGTATGCATGTGTGCACAATCAGAAATTGTACATACATATATACATACCCACACACACACATATACATATATATATATACATATGTGTGTGTACATGTAGATGGATAGATGGACGCATGGATGGATGGCTGGATGGATGGATGGATGGATGGCTGGATGGCTGGATGGATGGATGGATGGATGGAGGGATGGAAGGATGGATGGACGGACGGATAGTTAGACATACAAAAAGGCAAGCATGAATGGTACACGGAATCACATCTTAGAATTGTGTTTTTGAAGCATAAGCTCCCTCCATCCTTCACTTATGCTGTCGGGTCACTCGTAGAGCTCGGCAGCACCATCAAGATCTCCTTTGCACAGAAGCTCAATGGTTCACTTGGAAATTTGCGACCAAGGCTCCTTGTTTCTCATGAATCTCTCCCAGGTTGGCCAGCAAATCCGCGCCCGCATTGGACCCCAAAGTGCCGCTGCCTTCGTGGAGCCTGGCACAAATGCTGAAGCTCAGCAACACTCTTGCAACCGCACAGCGCTCGGCTTGAGCCATGGCTATGCTGATGCTCCGATGCTGTTACAGCTCTCAAACACTTTTACTTCTGCCACGGCGGCGGCGGCCGCTGCAGCTGCTACTACTGCGACGACGATGTCGCCATCACCACCGCTACCTCTACCACCACGACTACGACCACGACAGAAAAAAACACCCATGCGACAGCAACAGCGACGACGAAAAAAACCACGACTACCCTCCGACGACAGTGGCAGCCATTTCTACCTCCTCCTCCTGCTGCTGCTGCACTTCTACAACCGTTACGGCCGTGTGGCTACCTGCGTCAATACATCTTTCCATGAGTCCTTTTCAGGATCATCCGAAGCTAAGACTTGGGTCACAGCGTGTCACAGTAAAAGCGCAATCAAGTCGCCAACAAGTTCTTGCGCATCACAGCTGCAGAAGCCGTTTGTCAGGCCTCAACCCCTCCTCCATCACGAAGCGTGCTCTCTCCAGATACCCCATGTCTGAGAGGAGGCCGCCGACCTGCAGGTGAGCCCTGTTTAGCGCCAGAGTACCAGAAGCGAACGGTGCCCATTTTTTTTTTTGTGGGGGGGAGGGGGGGGGCAGGATGCTTTCATGCTTTCGGGTTCCAACACTCCCCCACTTCAAACCGACTGAAACATGAATGTAGGGAAGCTCAAGATCTCGTAGTTCATCAAAAAGACGTCGCAGTACTGCTACCCCTTACCTGCCGCCCTGTAACGTCCACATACTCAGTACCACATTGTGGCATAACACGCCTCACCGTCCTCCTTCGTGACTCAAACTTTCCTGGTTACATGTCGAGCCACACTTGAAGCGGTTGCGTTACGGGCTCTGCCACCATGCCGAATGCTGATTGGACCTCCCGATCTGCTCGTTCGGCTCTTAGCTGCATCTAGCAGCATCTGTCGACGATTTCCGACAACGACAGCGCCTCGCTGCAGAGATTCGCGACGGCAACCGATGCTGCACCGTCACGAAGGGCGTGGAGTAGGTGTCCCTCGCAGGCTTCCAAGATCCTGAGTGGCTCGAGTGCTTCGAACAGAAACCACACTCAAGTTCGTGTTCGCACTGCGAAGAATCGGAACTCCACTACGAGGCAAGCATTCAGGATAAGGGCCATTTGAAGCAACACCTATATCCAATAGGATCAAAGTCGCCAGTCTTTCAAATGCTCTGCGATGACCTCAGCTCCACAGAAATCGCAGCAAAGAGGCATGGCATCCGAGCTCCCCAGCCAACAGAGCCCGTGATGTCAAGTCCTAAATTCCATCATCAAAGGGAGACAGCTTCTTGGCTGGAGCTGAGACGGGCACCGTGTTGAGTTTATGTGCTCCAGGGCCATCATGAATCATCTGCAGAATGAGCTCGCGATCCTGGGTGGGTAGATTTGAGCTAACAGATACAGGCAGGAAGTAGTCAAAAAAGAGCTTACAGTGACTTGAGTCAAGTGCGGCCACAGTGGCTCTGGTTACAGAGGCCTGGGCCCTCTCCACGTCGAGTCGTGACAGCACATTCCATACAGCTTTGACGCCTGCGATGGCCGCAGGATCAAAAGGCTGTCAAAAATCTCGTCTGCATGCGATGGCATGCAGGTATCTGCTGAAATAGCTTTCAAAAGCTGTCTTGCCACTCTTAGCCTTCGCCCAGCCACGTGAAAAGCGAGGCCTTGCCTTGGCCGCTGACCAACTCCTGGCGAAGGTCCTCGGCCTCCCGCGGCGGCATCACAATGGTCACCTGAGAAAACATGGAGAAGCGATGCAGATCCCAGCCCAAGGACTTGGGAAATTCGCCGCGCACCTGTGAGGCAGCCACATGCTTCGCCGTAAACATCTCCTGAGTTGCAGGGTGCCCAACCACCATACTCAATTGAGGCTCATGACGGCAAAGATCTGGATTGAAGTGAGATACCCGTATGCTACGGTTTCCGAAGTACCCTTGTGATAAGCTAAAAGTGCGACCTGCGCCGTACCCTTCTCTTGGTACCATTGCGGTACCCTAGACAGGGCACATCCCCCAAGAACCCACAAGCCATTCTGCAGCCGAAGTGTCGAAGTCACACCTGGGGAGCAAAGGCCAGGGGGACTTACTTGACTATCATCCTGAGATTAACTACCAAAACCAACGTCGTTCGTACCACTATCACTATCAGCAGCCGTACTGGTGCCTTTATAATTTACAACCAATACTGTTGTCAGCAGGGATATCATTGGCATCACAAGCATGAAGTGTTTCGCACTGTTACCGGTACTGGTACTATCATTGCCATCAGTGGCAGAATTGATATCATAAGCACCAATATCATTGCCATCCTTCGTTTTCGTGCTATTGCTAGTTCACTATCATTATCACCTGTCATATTACTGTAATGCCCTGGCGAGCATCACGAACATGCTCGCCATGTGCATTTAGAACTCGAACTACTACTCGCATCACTCTGATCATAATTGTTGGACTCACAGCACCAGGAGCTAACGTGAACCTTGTGTACAAGTCCTTGCCGAGAAGCCAAATGCGCGAGATGTACATGGGCTCCTGGGCACGCCAAAACCATCCAAACCCCTAGGATGATCTGGAAAGTAAACCCCTTGAAAGAAGCTACCAACCTGGGGGTCTGGGCGCTTCAAGTTGCGCCTTTTCCCATCCGAACTTGTGATCTGGGCTATGGAAAATCTGCAAGTAATAGGTCAGGACGACCGGCTGTACTGCCCGCCATTTTCGCAGGAAAGGTCAGCTTGAGGTCTGCTGCTAAGCCGACGATGTGAAAGCGCAAGAACACTAGATCACAAGGCAGCTCCTCCGTGAGCTCTTTCTATGAAAGAGGCAACTCAAGGAGTCAGAAGACATACGGCTACCACTGCTTCTGAGGGGGATGGCCCAAACTACAAGCATGCGCTCATTGGTATCGTTTTTGTTTAAAAAAAAATACATGCGCCAAGTGTGCGACGGCAGTACCGAGAGACAGCCGCTTTACGGGCAGAGTAAAGCCCTTAAGGCAAATACGCCTGCAAAGGCTCGCTCGTCAATGTGTTGTGATGTGCGGACCGGGCACGTGCCAGGGAGCCATCATAGCAATGATGTGGCCGATGCCCGACACTCGCCTCAGAGCGTGTTCACGTCGAGAAGCTTCGCATGTTCTTGCTCGAAGCTGTGAGTCGAAGAACTGCGAGAGGTTCGCAACACATGCTAGGCGGGCCAGCTACATGCATGTATGGACAACGGCTCACTGGGCGCAAAACTGGCCAAAAGCCTTCTCGAAGTCTTCAAACGGCACGACATCGCCGGATGCCTGATGGACCAAGCGCTCGTTGCAAGCGCACAGCTGCCCAAGCCGTGACCACACCAACTACGGTTACACGGCCAGTGCTCAGAGCCGCAAGACTGGGTGGCGACGGCTCTAAGTGGCATATCGGCCCTTGACCTGAAGACATCGCCTAACCAGGAGAGCATGGAGAACCCGCTTCAGGCACTCATGCGCCTGGGCCTCCTTGACGCGATGCTGATTGATGCACAGGCCTGGGCACCAGAATGTCTTCAGCACGTGTTCGAGCGCGTGTGAGCGTGCACCTTCTGAGGTGTTGCAGATGCAGGGATGGCAGAGGCAACAACTCTGATGAGACCAAGACTGGCAACTGGGCCATCGTGTCGACATCACGACGTCCATTCCATCAACACTTGTTGAAAACCCTTAGTCTAGGTCCCCAGACAAGGCAAGGCCAAAGGCCCTGACAGCAGATCCACAGGTAGGTCTCCTCTGGCCGCTTCTCGCGCGCGAAGCAGAAATCCGTCAAGGTCTCGACGATGTCCTTGACCTGCGCTTCCCCCACTCTCGCGGTAACAAGCTGCATCTTCGAGAAGAGAGCTCCTGCTGCGATGAGGCGAACCTCGCAGCCTGCCCATATCCTACTAGCACCTTCTCAGCCTGTGATATCCCATATAAACTCTCTTATGATGAAGCCCAATAAGGTGGGGATATCCCCACAAAATGCTTATGCTTCAGCCTGAAGTTAGCTCTCCAAGTAGCAAGATGCCGAGAACATACAGCGATTCTTCTCTGAGAATGTTCTCCTCAACTTCACAGGCTGCCCCAGCTCCCGCATGCCGTCTGTGACTTTCTTCCTTCCTCAGCCTTTACTCTGTTGCCGCAACGCAGCAATGCCACTGATTCTTGCCAGAGGTAAGAACAGGCTTTTCAGCAGCCACTCTCAGATTGCAGAAACGTATGGGAATCACGTTCCTCTGCCAAGGGTCCAGCACCCAGCATGATGATAAAAAGTATGGAAGTGCTACACTATTGCTTCAGGAAGCAGCTGTGATACAACCCTGGCCGAAGCTGGACTCTATGCGACACGGACAATGACGTAGCTGAACCCATCTGAGACGGGCGCTGAGAGCCAGCATATGAGGGTCGCAGCCCGGGAATCAATACCCGGAGCGGAAAAACTGTTCAGTTAAGAAGCAGACGCTTAGAAGCAGAATCTTCCCTCAGAATCTCGGAACAATGACGGCCAGAAACAGCAATGACCACCCTAAACCCGAAACCCATCACCATCCTCTCACACGACAATACCCTGCTTCCCAAACTAACGTAAACCTGAAAGCACTCCGCATTGCAAGCTTCGGAAAGGCCGAACTCAGAAGAGCGGATCTGATCCTGTCCTCCGCTGTGGTCTCACATGTTCATCTCTTGTAACTCCAGTCGTCGTTGTGCTATACTGTTGTTGTGGTTCTGCTATACTATAGTTACTATAGTCTTCCCTTCTTGACCCCCTTACTTGCTTCATCGCTTCTGGCATTCGAGTTTCTCTGGCTCAAGCTTACAGTAGCTCGGAGCGATGCCGCAAAAGACTCCCAGGCTCCATGGTAGCCGAAATTCAGGGTACCGTAGGGTTCTACAAGGGTTTTGAAGGGCTTGTAGGCTTTATCGGCTGTCGTTTGTCTTATTTCGCAAGAGGACGCACGCAGCTCAACACCCAGGCCGAACCCTCATGGTCCCAATGTCGTCAAAGCTGCGCTCCAAACCTGCATCTCCACCCAAACTGACCCAAACATCAACCGTCAATGGATCTGAGCTGAGCACATAAAGCCACAGTGGTAGACTCCGAAGCCCGCAAACACTTTGCTGTTCCAGGGGCCTTCACGGACGCCGGTGGCGAAGCAGGGACGTCGTGAGGTCCGGGTACCTGAAACCCGGAAAAAGCTTGAAATATCGTGGCAGCCAGGAGTACCAGGTACCAGGTACCATGTTTGTTTACCTTCTTTTCTCTCCCTCACTTGCACACGTCCCGTCTGCAGGCTTTGGCTTTCAACTGGGATTAGGGACCCCAGACCCGCCGGGTTCCTCGGGGTCTTCTCGCGTTGGTGGCTCTCTCGCTCTCTCTCGGTAGGGAGGTTCTCGGAACGATGTGAAACAAGAAGCATCAGAAGTAGTGCTGAACTCTACGGGCACTGCCTTTCTTGCTTTCCTTCGCCAGGGCCAGGGTGAGAGGATAGTCTTCCCGGGCCGATGGCCCACCCGTGTTCGGCGGGCTTTGTGGAGGGCTGCAAAGCCACAAAGCCGATCCCCGAGAAAGATGCTTACAAAGCTACAATCGTCATGACGGGTACATTGCGACTACATTCGTCATCACCCGGAATAAGGGCAACCTTCCCTGAAACGGAAAAGGAACACAGACATGTCACGTGAACGGAGTAGGCTCTTGCTTGCTTGCTTGCTGGGTTGCTGGGGGTTTGGGGTCCATGACCCTCGGCCCGAAGGCCAACCCCTCAACGGTGCGCGAGTAGGCTCTCTCTCTCTCTCTCCCTCGCTCACTCGTTCTGTCTTCTTTTCCGAATCTCTCGTCCTGTAGGTACAAGTGAAGGGGAGTTGCGGTTACCACTCCGCTCTGTAGCCTTGTCCTAGTGGCACGTCATGAAAAAGCAAACCGGCTACGCCTTGGGATCCGCAGGTGCTCTCTTCCCGCATGATCCCTGCTACAAGTACCGTTGTCGAACTTCCATCGTCAGCATAATAGCATGGGCAAGGAGCATGTTCGGATTCAGCTCATCGCCCACTTCGTTCTTCTTGGCCTTACCCTCCTCCATTGCACGCTGAAGGCCCTCTTTCCCTCGCACGGCACACTGCAGGGTCTTGAGAAGACCATCAGGTCATCACAGCAACTGAGCACCAAACATGAAGACGATGCTGCCACAAGGCTACCATGCTCGGCACTAAGTCTATTCACCTAGAATCTGGCCAGCCGCCACCGAAGCAGCCAGTTTCACATAAACCACGGCCTTGGCCGTCAGTAGCATGCAGTAACGGTGCCCTACGTCCTATACTTCTCAGGTCCTTGGAAAGGACATAGGCGATGCAAGCAAGCACGACGGTAACACCGGCATTGAAGACGGTGGGATCGTACCTCAGATCTCCGCTGAGCACCGAGCTTTCAGTTCCAAGATTTGCGGCACTTTCACTGGAAGCACAAAGGCGCCGCTTGCCGGGATCTCTTGAAACTGAAACCGCCCCCACCCGCGTGTGGATGCGAGTCCAGGCTGCTTTCCTCCCAAGAACATCACGCGCCCGAAGTACACAAGGATCACGCCGATCGCCTCGAGTCCATCTCAAGTGCCCCCAGATGCTCGGTGCTTAGCAACACGAGGGCCATGATGGGTCCCAGACTCTATTACACCCCATCGCACAGTCAAAGAGCCCGCCTCGCTGATGTTCTTCCAGATCGCATCCAAAACCTTGAGCAGATACTGATTGAAGAGCGTCCTCGGCTCACAGCTGTGACGTTCTGAGCCGACGCGTCGGTCAACGAATCAACAACGAACAAGCACACCATGCAGACACCGTCGCCGCCCATCAGTTTTGAAAAACGGAAACTGTGCCACCACGTGCTCACTGAAAAACTGAAAACTGATTTAGTGTAGGACCTGGAGCAGTGATCAATTCCTCGAATACTTTCCAGGCTTGGGTGCCGGCCTTCCTTCAATGGCACACACAAGCCAGATGTCTTCAGCTCACAATCTCTTCACACGTGTCGCACCCGCCAACTGCCAACCTTGACTCCGCCATAGGTAATATCCTCTGACAGACTCTGACAGTGTGCACAAGGTTCGTCAAGAAGGGTTCTTCGATGGGTTTTGTGCGAGATCTCAGCCTGAACTATCATGTCCCGGCCGCTTGAGGATGAAGCCGCAGAAGACGAGCACCACGGTTCCTTAGCATACCACTTCTTCCGTCACAACAAAAAACCGGGGAGATGGGGGCGACTTGGCATGATGTGGGAGTTTCTGAAATGAGCGGAGCCGCGAAGAAAGAAAGAGGCCCTCCGAATATTTCAGGATTTCCCTACTAAGAAGGCGGCCGATCGGAAGCCAAAAAGAAAACCCCGGGGAGCGATCAAGAGATCAGGGCCCGAACTACTGAGCTGTGGAAGGACGCATGAAAATCTCTTTGGCAGGGTCCGGCTCACGGCGGAAGCGGCGACGACAGAGGCCATGTAGCATGATGACAGGGATGACACTGATGATGAGCGCGACCATGGTGCTCATGATGATGACTGATGATAATGGGTGATAATGGCGTGGTGGCGGCTCTTGTGCCGCTCATGATGCTGTGATGCTGAAAGTGTTGATGACGGCGATCACAGCGACGATGACGCTGGCTGAGCATAAGTGGCGGTGCGTCCACTCACCAAACATGCCATCGCCCAAGATGCCGTCCTCTCGAAAGATTTGCTGTCTGTGTGAGGAACTAAGAACTGAGATTCCTAGAAAATCCTAGAGCCGTTCGCAGCTCGTAGATTGCATCCGTGCACCGATTGCTTCGGCAACCCGCTGTCCTTCACGACCATGTAGACCAAACTGGCCATCGCCCAGGAGACTTTCAGGCATGAGAACCTGGCCAGCTACAAGAATAGCCTGGAAAACAAACAGCTGCTGCGGACATCACGCTCGCAACTGATAGCATGACTGATGGAGGTGGTTCCTGGTAGACCTAGCCTGATTGACAGATCGAAAGCCGTAAGAGTACCTGGAACAACCACCTGATCACATGTCTGCCACTACCGGCTGCGTGGCTTACGCTCTTATGACGATAAGAACACTGGTACTGCGGTAGCAGGGGCAGTGCTCGTAGCGTTGGCTGTCAAGTAGTGGGTTAAATTATAGTCGCACTGGCACCAGCAGCAGCAACTGTGCTTGCTGATGTGGCTGCAGCACCAGTAGAAGAAGAGAGGAAAAAAGCACAAGCTGGCATGGCAATTGTTGTGCTAACGGGAGCGGCGGTTATGTCGCCGTCCACGTCGTAGTCGTGGTTGTGGTGGGGTAGCAGTGGCAGTGGCAGTAGCAGTCGCAGTAGCAGCAGCAGCAGCAGCAGCAGCAGCAGTAGTCATCATCGTCGTCGTAATTGCAGCAAGAGCAGGAGCGGCAGGCGGCAGCAGCAGCGCGAATAGTAAATACTAGTGCACTGGCAGTGGTAGTGGCAGTGGCAGTGGTAAACATCCGTCGTCGTGGAAATGCTAGTCGTAGCAGTCGTCGTCGTCGTCGTCGTAGTCGTAGTAGTAGTCGTCGTCGTAGTAGTGGTGGTAGTAGTAGTAGTAGCAGCAGTAGCAGTAGCAGTAGCAGTAGCAGCAGCAGCAGCAGTAGTAATAGAAGACGTCGTCGTCGTCTGCGTCGTCTGCGGCGTCGTCGGCTCGTCACGGTAGTGGTGATTACTTGCCATTGCTTTTAATTACCGATAGCAGCAGTCGGATCGACAACAGCAGCAGCCATCACCGCCGCGGTAGTCGTTCATGTCGTTGTGCCGTAGCCACACTAGTAGAGGTGGTGGCTTCTTGTTGTTGTTGCTGCTGTAAGGTAAGCAGTCGCAGTGGTGTGGAGTAGCGGGATACCTCGCACCAGGAGCTGTCGTCATTAACGCAGGAACACTTTGATCTCGATGCTGCGTAATTCAGCAGGTCCTTTATTTAAGCTACTTCCACGCACTCGGGTTGTATTCTAAACGACCTCTCTCTCTCTCTCTCTCTCAGGTGCTCGAAGTGCCTGACCTGTTGATTCTAAACGACCTCGAAACTACAAAATCCACTGCACTTTTCCACCCGATAACTTCATAACCTTGCGAAACTAGCCTCCTGCCGATGGACAGCCCGGGCACTGAACGGGGAACGGGTTGCTGTCCCGTTTGAGCGCTTTCGTGTTCAGCACAGCCACGTAGCAGCTAATCATCACCTGCGCTCACAGCCGCTGTGCCAGAAAGTTGGCACCATGCCTTGCAAAAGGATCAATTTAGGAGGGTCTATGTAAATGAATGTCTGAACCGGCTCCAACCGACAGGCTACCAGGCATGCAGGTCTCCATGCCTGCCAGAGAAGTCCGGAACTACGCTACAGTCAAGCCTTGACCAAGGCCAGGCAAACGCCGAAGACGCTGAAGGTCATGGCTCCGCCCTTCGCCTTGCCCACCAAAACGTACCTTTGCAAAATTCTCCACAGCTCGGCAAGCCAGAAAGTGAAACCTGCAAGTTGGCCTCGAAAGCAAGACGCTCAGCTCTTCGGCTTCTTGCAGATTGCATCTTCTACCGATGCCTCTGAGAAGCTCCAACATGCCAGAGGAAGTCGTGAAAAGGATGAACCACTGCATCATGCTCTGAGCAGAACCTTTGCTTGGCTTTGGTCAAACTCTCCACGCTCCACGAAGCTCAAAAAAAAAGCCTGCGGTCCTCAAGCAAAGCTTAATAAAAAAATACACTTGGGGAGAGATGAGCCATCCAGCACCCACATCAGCGTCGCAGTGATGATGAGCTTGGACTGGGAAAGCACCGTATACGTGGAGGAATCCTCGGCTTGAGACATCGAGTCATAAACTCCCCAGATCTCAGAGTCATGAAACCGTTGGCTCGGCTGCGCACGATGGGTGCAGAACTACCCCTGACCTAGAGCCTCCGATCTTGCAGAGTTAACACAGGCACATAGTCCTACAGCGTTTACAGTCTACAGATGCCCCGAGGAACCAAGAACATAAGCTTTGTTTGAGCCCAATATCTCCCCCTGAGCCCAACCTTCCTAAACAGCCCGTGGCTCGCCTCCTACAAACCTGTGCCTGGAATCCACCTTTGCCGCGTGCATCCACGAAACCATGCACCTCAGACCCTTGAAGATCACTTCGCCCTACATCGCTGCTCCAGGAGCGATGTAGTTCACGGACTCCATCTCAAAGATGTCTCCCAAGGCATAGATCAAACCGATGTGGAAGAAATTGGTCAGGTTTTTCACCTAAGATGCAGCGACACGCTCCTTAAATTTGTGAGGGGCTAAGGGTCCAAGCTTCTACGCGGAGGTTCCTAAAGCAAAGCCTACACAGGCCCCTCAGAGCCACCTGTAAAGTCATGAAGGTTAGCATCTTGGGCATCTCGGGAGAAATACATCTAGCCCTTCATAGTCTATCCATCCTGCTGTCTACATACACACTCTTACTCTTACATGCAAGCAAAGCATATGATCTGTTGTCACGTTGTCCCTGGCGTGGTCTAGCAGGATGGTCATGACACAAAGCTGATTGAGACCACACCCTTCAGCTGCGTGCCAAAGAAATCGGCGGCTTTGGAAAGTTGGGTCCACTTCATTGGGGGGGTCTTCATGGATGTTCCTGTTCATGAAGAACCTGTTTCGCACAGAGGAGCCATTCCCAAGTTCCTGCGCATGTAGCAGCTGTGGTATACCAGTGCTTTACGAAGCTGCTTAGAAGCCTAGCCCGCGAGGAACGGTGCTTAGATGAGGGCACACTATGAGCCTCACGAGTTATGAAGAAGGAACTCGACAAATTCAGCTAAGGCGACGTCGAAACATTTCTTCAAGTCCTGGGTCCCGCCAGTGCTGTGAGCCAGCATCCAGCCAATGGCAACCTGAGCTCGCAAAACAAGCCAAGCTGCAAACACACCGCCAAGCGCTCAATTGCAGCATCACTTTCAGAATATTATGTTCCTCCCGGGAGCACAGATGATTTGCGCGACGAAGATCACACTGGACACGGTGTACTTCGCCTCGGGATCGAAATATTGCAAGATCGAGTTGACTGATATGCCCGCTCAACTGGTGGCTTCTGCATCTTGCTCGAAGCCGTTGATTCTCGGCCATACGGATACAGCATCAAAGCCACTCTATGAAACCAAGGTCTTGCCCGGTGCAATCAGTACATGTTTGCTGCGGACCGAACCAGCTAGCCGCTAGCAGCCAGGGAACATGCGGCGAATCGCCTTTGGCCCACTCGATGAAGGAGTTGTGGCATGCTCGCTGCACAGTCACCTAGGCTTCTAGTTCCATATATATAAAATATTGAAATTCTTGCCAATAGCGCATGTTGACGGAAGAAGTCGTGATGAGATTCTCGAGTTTGTGCGAAGCATAGGCGTCAACAAGCAGCAAGCCCGATGCAGCGGACTGCAAAAAGGGATTGATACTGAAGCACTGGATTGCATTATGTGCATCAGGTTGCAGCAATGAAGGCCGCAGCTTTGGTCTGGACATCAGCCATCTGACACAGGGGATTCTGCGCAGGTTCTCTTGCAGCCACATGGCACGGAAGTGCCTACCACGTGAAATCTTCAGGGAAAGCGGATCGGACTCAATCCGGCTTCGGAGAAGATCTGCCTCGTCCACAGCCACACGCAAACAGAAAGTGAAGTCGCCAGTGCTGGGAATCTTTGGGCCAGAACGCTGCGGCGTGTCAGCTGCACACACGGGAGCACGTGCTGAGGAAACCTACAATCAAGCAATCAAGCCGGCCCTGCTGCACAAAGCAGAGTTTGCAGAACCTCTACAGCTCAGCTGCACCTTGTAGCCCCAGGTGTAGCTCAGCATGTAGGCGGCGCCTTCACCACATGTGACTGTGATCGATCTGCACAGGCTTGGCGTCGAAATAAAAGTCACAACAACACATCTCGTGAGCTGCTTTCGGCGCGCGACTCCACAGCCCACATTTCATCAATGTGCCAGTTGTGTGCTGCAGCCTCCAGCATTCTGGCTTCCGAAGATGCTGTCAACATAAGCTGCGCCCAACCTGGCGACTTCGGAAAACGTAGAAGAACCAGGACACCCCTCTGTCTCCTCTGGTTTCAGCTTTCGACTCGCACACTCGCTCTGGTTTCAGCTTTAAGGTATCTCTCTTGATCGGCTCCTGCCATCACGTGGGCATCGGACTGCAGCGCCCTTTGGCCGAATGATGAGAGGCCTCAGCAACACCCAACATCGAAAGCATGGCTTCAAGAGTTCGGTGGACCTAGAGAGTGGATGCAAGAAAGCCGCCTAATTAATAGCCACCCCGTCTAACTGCTCTCAAATTAGAGCGGCTGAAAGGCTCAATCTCGTAAACTCGCGCATCAATGTGTAAGCCACAGCGCGGCACCTGCAGGAGGCGAGGCCGAGACTCGGACAGAGGCCGACACGAAGGACTCTCTTTGCCAACTTCTAGAGATTCCAGGGGGATCGTATGCACCACGCCCGCACGGGCCCTTAAGCGAGGATGAAGCGTGGTTGTGAGGCCCATCTGGTCTTGAGATACGGCAACCGCTACGAAACCTGGAGGTAGCTGCCCAGCTTGCTGTACTACGGCCCACAACAATCAACATCCTCCCCAAAAATTGGGACAGATGACCACGCCGTGGGAGAAAGCCACCGAAAACAACCTTCCCAAAGCCCAGCCGCCAGACCAGCGCTCACACTACACCTCAAACCTGAGCGTGAAAGTGGCCTCAGCGAGCAAGGAGTCGCGCAAATGCGCAACACTGACCTCACTTCAACATGGGCTGACAAGACTCAAACGACTTATACAGGCCTACCTCGTTCCCGCTGAATTTCGACTCCAAGCGTCTCCACGGAATTCGTGACCCAAACACTGGTCGAACAGGTAGTTGCAAAAGTCGGGGATGTGTGCCTCCGGTCATCTACCCAACTTTACGCATCAAGTCAAAAGGCCCGTGCAAGTCCTGTCAAATCGGCCAGCAAACGATGATACTGGGTACAAAATTTCAGAATAGCCAAACAACAAAGATTGCAGTACATAAGCACAACACTGAATAAGACGGGGATAAGAAAGGATCCTTTGCAGGGCCAGGGGCGATTTCGCCATCTTCGGTTGGCTGACCGGCCTGATACTCTGTTTGCTCAGGCGTTCAAGCTTCAGAGAAATCGTGCGGTAATATCTTTGCGTATGTACGTATGTATGTATGTATGTATGTAGGTACAGTAGGTATAGATATAGGTATGCCCATTGTATGTAGTTATGTAGATACGCAAATATGACTCTCTCTGTCTCTCTGCCTCTCTCTGCCTGCCTGCCTCCCTGCCCGGCTGGCTGGCTGGATGTATGTAAGTATGTGGTTTTTCTTGCCGTGTTTTGTTGTCTGTTGCTGGTTCAGCTAGTACTCGATGGCCCTATTTGCATTGTATCCTCTAGTGTTACTAGCATCATTGTAGCAGGATCCCTGGCCTGGACCGAACTTTACTTCCAAGCTTGCCACACTTCGCGTTCACACCCGTTGGAGATTGTTTGAAGGCGTTAGCGAATGAGAAGATGGCCGATTCTGACTCTGGCAATGCTGTGGTGCAAAAAACTTTCTAGCTGAGACACTACTTGTACCGGACTTTCGGTCGGATGGGCCAGAATCAAAACATTTCATAGCAACTGTTTGAGTTTACCGGGTCGTGCACGTGCTCCAGCAGGTCGTGCATGGTGTCATCGTCCAGGTCCGGAACCTTTGTCAGAAGAGCAGAATGCCATGCCAGATCATGAGGCACATGATGCCAACGATCCTGTGTCATGCAGAGTGCGAGTGCGACCGATCATCCACGGGCCTGCTTTGTGCGCAAGGCAAACGGGAAATGCCCCGAAAAACCAGAGACTCCCTATTGTCAACATTTAGAGACCTAGTGCTCTTATCCATGTCCAGAGGCCACTCGTTGCAGAACTCCACGGAGCTGCGCTACCGTCAAGGCCCGCTCTCCTTGGCTGCGCTGGGCACTTGTGACATGTCAATCGTACCTAGGACCTACTGATTTCAAACAAGGTCTCACATGCCTCGGTGTCTGTTACCAGTTTCCCACAGCAAGCTTTTGAAGCATTTAGAAAAGCATGGTCTTGCTGCGAACTGCTGAATTCTCCAAGCTGCCAAAGGCTTGCAAGACCTCTGCAGCAGCCTCCATGGCTCCGATACTTTGGCGTCGCAGCTTTGTCTTTGAGGTAATCCCACCTGCGCCTTTAAGGCAGCACTCCAAGCTTAGAATTTGGAAAGCTTGGAATTTGCGACACCCCATGTTTTCCTGCCATATCCAGCTGCTATGAGCCAGCTCTTTGTCCTAGCTTCTCTAGGCGATAGTCCGCGACGATGCAAAGAAACATCATAAGACTCGCAGCTTCACTGCCTTCATCGCCACAACCAAGCGAATCCACAGCCGCATGGGCATGAGCGAAGTCAACAACCACAAGACCACTGAAGCTCAATAGGAAAAAGAAGGGGAAGGAAGGAGGCTCAGGAGTCTTTCCCAGTGCCACCCTAAGCAAGGTCTTACCCTCAAGAAGCTCACCACTGCCTTCCGAGTACACTCTACACCTCAAACTGAGTGCAGCACCTCCTGTTCCGTACCCATCGCTGCCTTCACACCACACACTAAGAATCTGTGATATTGCGACACACACACTGTTCCAGATGCGCTGGCACGCGTGCGATCGCTTTCCTCACGTGTTCTTCTGATCGCGGCATCGAGCAGTTCTGTATATGCCACAATGCTCGACCTTGCTAGGTATTCTGAATCGTCATATCATCTAGAACTCCACAACAAGAAGGAAAATTCTCGGCAGAGCCTGCAATATGGCATTCAAGGTGGTTGCTTTGTCAGAAAACAACAATCTGGCATGGAAGCCTGCAATTCTCCTCAGGGTCCACGGCAGGTCACAACATAACACAACATGCATATAATCGAGGCTCGCAGGAATTCGATCCAAGACCACACCATGCCATTGCATAGCCTTAGGCCCTAGGCCGTAATCGGCCGTAGGCCGTAGGGCCTGCCGCTCGCTGTCCACGCGTAGCGGGCCCTGTACCACAGCAGAGATCTCATGTCGAGCTTCCCTCATGACCAAAACGGGATCCGACGGAGGCCGCAGCGAAAAGTCTCACTCGGTGCTGTGCCTGAAGTGTCTTTGACGCTACGTCTGGAAGCTCGGCCGTGGAAGCCTCAACAAAAAACTGTTCAACGTTTAGGAGGTTGAAGGAATCGTTCAAGTTCGTCTGGACCGGTGCAACCTACCTGGCTACGGCGTGCGAGCGGCAAACCCATCAAAATCGCAACTCACAGGCCCAAACCCCCCTATCTGAATCAGAGCTCTTACGCGGACCGTCTTCTACACTCAGCAAAACCCAGCATGAACCCTGTACTGGCCCTGAACATTTTGTGATACTGAAAAAGCTTCCGTCTCACAACGGGTCTTTGTTTGCCCCACATCCTGTCCAAAGGTCCTGACAACCCTAAATCTCCAAAGATCCTTCGAGATCCAACAACTGCCCATCAGGGGCCCCTATTCATGCTTAGACAGCGCTGAGTAAGGGGTTTTCGGGGCTCCGGCGGGCAAGAGCAGCGCAAGGCTCCGAAGCCTGGGGTCTCTGCTCCAGGCTCTCTCGGGGGGGGGACTCGAGTTCAGGGTTGAGGGCTATATCTTACTTTTTCTGGATCCCTTGCTGCTTCCAGTTGCTTTGCCTGGGTGGCCATCGCAGAAGGAGTCACCCGGCGGGGCCCCAATTTGCGAAGAGTTTCCCACATCTTAAATCAACGACTCATTGGCATGTTGGTGGCTATCCTTCCACGGGACCTTGGAAGGAGTACACAATTATCGTTTAGGCTTCGTCGCTGCAGCCTGAGACGTAAAAGCTCGCCGCTTATCCTCAACATTCCTTGCTGCAAAACTACTGTAACATGTTTCATTATCAAGCACTTCAGGGCCTCCGTGCAGCCCGTGCAAAGTAAAAATCACCTGAACCAACCTCGGTCTTTTTTCTGCCACGAGCTTTTTGTCCTAGGAATGCCTGCCTCAGACGAGTCACGCACTGGCCGTGAGGTGCGCCGGCGCCGGCGCAGCTGCCGCCAGTGCTGCCAGAGGTGCTGCTGGCAGGCCCAGGCGCCAACTGCGACATCAGATCGGGAGGTTTCCGAAAATAGTGGACCCTAACATAGCACCCTAAATAGTAGGATCCTTATTATAAAGGAGTCCAAAATAAGGTCCCCCTAATTTTCGGAGACTCCCATATCCCTTTCCAAACCTCTCCCCCTGTCGAGGGCATCGGAGTCCGTCTCTCAGGGCTCTCTTGAGGTGTTAGAAACTGCCTTTGGTGCCAATTCCTTGAGTACCGTCATGGACAGATATGCTAACATGTTTTGCAAGCTAAAAGTATGCAGCAGCTTTGCTTACACAGCCGACATGCGCCAGCGCACGCATCTCAAGATTTGTTCACAGCTGAAACTGTGAGAGCTGCCTGCACTTCAGCTCTGTGAAATCACAACGAAAACACGGACCCAACTTGCAACCTTTCGAGCAGAATCCATACTACCTGCTGGCAGCAGGCAAAGACGAGAATCTAGAGCTTCCTCGCATAGTCGCGTCGAGACAAAATGCTCATGATCAAACGCCTCCAAATGCCCTGAGACTACCTTGATCCAGAGGATGCTTAGGTCTTGCTTCCGCAGTCAGGCCTGGCGCAGCCCTCCAAAACGGAGGCTACCTGCATCACAAGGCCATGGGGTAGGCACGGCCAGCAGGTACAGTGACAGAATCACAGCCCTCCCTTTTCAGCCGTCTTGCCAGAAGACTTGCGCCGAGCTAAACTGCGAGAGGCCACATCGTGCAGAAGCTTCGAAATGTTGATAATGCCGGTACTAGTAGGTGGGTCGGGCCTTGGGGAGCCTTCGTGGCGCAATCTCGCGGCACACATTCAATTGCATCAATATCCTGCGTGCCTGATACAATCTCATACACAAGTCCGGTCCTGTGCCGGGCGACTGGCAATTCATGGCCCTCAGGCCCTTTCGTTCGCCCCTAGGCGATGGGCAGAAACGATCCAAAACATGGCAATGCAGAATGAGGACCGAAGTCGGCCCACTTCTACAAGCATGAGTCCGAACTCTCGTTCCTCCAGAACCATGGAGAGCGCTAGAAATCTAAGAAAGCCTAAAATCTACTAATCACTAATCTAAGTGGCCTCGACTACCCTGTTCGGGTACGGAGACCATTCCAAAAACGTGTGAGATCCACATGCCCATTGAGGGAAGCGATCTCCTGAGGCGAAGTGCCGCTATGATCTGCCTTGGAAACATCTGCAACTGCCTCAACGAGGAGCCGCACTATCGGGAGATGCGCATTGGCAGAGGCAACCCACAACGGCGAAGTGTCGGTTGGAGGCCGCGTCTGATCCAGGTTTGCACGAAGCATAACCAAGAGCTGCACCATTCGCAAGTGACCTCGGGAAGCTGCAATCCAGAGTGGTGTTGCTCCTGTTCGATTGGCTGTGTTGAGGCATGCTTTGGTGTTGGCGAGATGTCTCACGATTTCCAGATAGCCCTGGCGGGCAGCGAACCAGACAGGAGAAGTGCCTGTGGCATCCACGGCATTGATGTCAGCTCGCTCTTCAAGGAGCAACCTTAATACATCGAGGTGGCCATTGCTGGAAGCAACCCAACAGGGCGACTTGCCTGCTCTGTCTTGTTGGTTAGTGTTGGCCCTGTGATGCAGAAGCTCCTGCACAATCTCCAGCTGGCCCTCGAAAGAAGCGCGCCACAAGGGCGACGCCTCCTCATTGTTGGCTCGGTTCTTGTTCGCCCCGGCCGCAAGGAGAAGGCGCACTACATTTAAGTGACCTTTGCCACATGCAATCGACAGTGGAGTGTCACCTGTTGGGCTAACCGCATCCAAGCAGTGGCCTGCTTCTACGACAACCTGGGCAACACTGGCGGAACCCGTCTCACAGGCGATGCCCAAGATGGACATCCCACGCGGGTCCTTGCTATCTATGCTCGCGCGAGCCTCCAGCAAGAGGCGTGCAGCGTTGGTGCTCCCGGAGTGAGCTGAGACCTGAAGCGCGTTGCGGCCGTCTGGAAGTGTCAGATCTGGCTCCACGGGCATTTTGAGGAGGCGCTCCAGGTCCTTCTCCGCCTTGTCCGCTTCGGCGCAACGGCGAAGGGCCTGAAGATCCCTGGCAGTCGCTGGGCTGAACCTGCAAGGCATAAAGGCTTGAGTGACAAAACTGACGAGAACAGATATAGGAGCCGCCGGCCAGACAAAAAAGAAAAGGTCATGTTTTCCCCGAGGATCGGAATCACGACCAACTGAAGGCTCGTGGGCAGCTCCAGGTCCGTCATCAGATCCAGCAGAACCTTCCAAGTACAGCTTGCAAGCACTTGCAATTTCTGCCCAGAAGACATTGAGGATGGGATGAACCATGAAAAGATATCAGAAATTTCCCCCGTCCTCCTCGTCCTCCAAGACCTTGTCCTGGAAAATCAATCTCTGCCTGCATTCGGAGGCCAGCGTTGAGCTCAGGAACGGCTTAAGACGAGCTTGTTCTTGGTGTTGTTGTTGTTGTTGTTGGCAGCACCTGCGTCTGCCGCCGCGCGGGGTG